TCCTACTACCGAATGATGAGGCTCTAACAACCTAATCAGGTTCTATCTATCTCAGGTTGCAGCAGAAATCAAGAAAAGCTGATCAGACTTCAATCAATTCAATAAAACATGCATCATTCGATTAAAACCAAACAGTATAATCATCCCAAGTCATTACAATCAAATCCCTAACACATGGAACTAGGGTTCTTCATACCCAAGTGAGAGAAGGGTTCTACTCCATAGAGAGAGAGAGAGAGAGGAAAACAAAATACAAAGCAGTCATACTCATAACAATGGGAAGAATCTGCTCTGGGATGATGATTTCCACTCCTATGACGATCTCCAAGCTCGATTTGATGAAACCCAGCTCCAAGATTGCTTCTAGGATGTGTTCTTCGTACTTTCTCTCTCTAGGGCTCTGTTTTTGCTCTCAAAAGTCGATTCCCTCACTTGTGGACCGAAATTGGGTAAAAACCAGAAAATCCCGATCACACGGGTATGCCACACGACCGTGCGGCATACCCAGATGCCCGTGTGAGGTCAAAATGCCGCGTTTCCAATAATTGCACTTCAGGCTACCTACACGGCCAGGGACACACGGCCGTGTGGCTCACCCAGTCTGCCCGTGTGGCTTGCTCAGCCTCTGTTTAATGCTTCGTTTCTCCCTCGTCCGGACTCTGAATCAGTCGCTGTTTGATCCCAAACGCTCGTAGTCTCGTCCTATTTCTTTTCATGACAAAATTCCATGATTATTTTTCCATAATGTGAGGTAGAAGTCCATTATTCCTCAGGTCATGCTCGTGTTTCTTCTCCCGAATTGCCGAATGATCTCCGATTGACTTCAAACTTGCGCCTATGCTTCAATTTACATGCTAGGACCTGAAATGTGACAAAGGAACACAACCTAGCATAAAATAGGCCAAAGAAGCGATAATGCAAGCTTAAACGATCAAGAAACAAAGGGGAAAACATGTGCAAATATCGAGTCATCAGTGCTCATGTGAAAAAAGAAATGCAGTTGGTCCTCCATGTCAAAATCTTTAAATCTTAAACATGGGTTAAGACCAACGTGTTCGGCACCGTTCATTGCACAAAAATTGGGTTTTGGAAGAGATTTTAATGATCCTTAGTGGGGTACTCCTACAAGGTGAAGCTAAACCGTCTCTAGTACAAGTAAAACTTCCACCCGTTGAACGGTTTGCCTACTTGAGGATGTGTTTTTAAGGGCATGGATAGAGCTTCCGACCCCCCTTAATTTCATTGACCCTCCACACGAGTTGAGGAAAAGGAGTTAAAAGAAGTACTCTGGCGAGCGCCAGATGTACAGAAATTGCTCTTGCTCGACTAATAAGGGTCGGCCGTGCGAAAGACTACAGTTGGAACCCCCGCTAAGTGAATGAAAAAAAAGTAAAATGGAAGTGAAAAAGGGGTTCCAATAGTGAAATGAAGTGAAAGAGCACCCCAGTATCACGAGTCCTTGATTGTGAATGGTGTGAGTCCCTTTATCCATGAACTGACTGTCTTACTTCTACTTCTTCTCATGATCCTGGCTTGAGTCTAGTACTCGCATTGAGAGAGATAGGGGACATCTTAGAAGACCAGTTGACCTCGTAAGCTGCGTTATGATCTAGAAAATCCTCTACCGACGATCGGGTATGTTTGTTTCTATAGAGGTCTGGAGAGTTGCATTGGTTTGAGTTAGGTTTGCTTGGGGACAAGCAAACGGTTAAGTGTGGGAGAATTTGATAACGATGTATTTGCACATGTTTGCACACTTAGTTCTTATTCGTTTGCGGCTAGTAGTCGTGTATTTTTGGCCCGTTTTACGCCGGGTTGTGCTACTTTGTCATATTTCAGGTCCCAGACGTCGAAGGAAAGGCTAAGCACGAGTTTCGGGACATTTGGAAGTCATTCGGTCGAGCTGGAGCCAAAGCACGGGCTGGCCTAAACCAAAACACGACCGTGTACACAAACAGGCACGCCAGAGTTTTTATTGCCGAGAGCTGAACTGATGGAAAAGCAAAACACGGGCTGGCCTAAAGCAAAACACGGTCGTGTCCATATTTAGGCACGACCGTGTTTTGGCCGACGCGGACGTGTTTTTAACACGGAGCAAAACACGGGCAAGCAAAACCAAAGCACGGCCGTGCCCTCGACCGTGTTTTGCCCAGGGTCGGCCTTTTAGGCAGATTTGAGTCAAAGGAGGAGGGGTTCCGAGTTTTAGAGAGACAGAGCAATACCTAGAGAGAGAAAGTGACGAAACTGAGTCTTCAAGTGTCTTTGATCGATCTCCATCACCATGGGAGCCCGGCTTGAGCTTGGAGAGGATCCGATTGAGCGCCAGAAGTAGATTATCATCCTTCACAGTATGGTTTCCGCATCTGAGCTAGATTTTCCCTCTCTCTCTATGGAGTAATTTTCTTATTCATCTGGGTATGGAGAACCCTAGATTTGTATGTTAGGTCTGATTGTATGAACCCAAGTACAGATTCTATGATTTGATTATATTCAATTGAGGTTTGAATGATTGAATGGCATGAATCCTGATCAAATTCCTGTTATTTCTGCTTTAGCCTAGAAAGAGAATATATGCCTAGGTTGATAGAGCACCCTTAATTGAAGGTAGTGAATTGGCGACTTTAGTCGAGGAGCCAATTCACTATTTTGTACCGAATTTACTTCGGTAGTGGAGGTTTGGTTCGTTAGGGCCTCAATCTGTTTACTCCGATGGAGGTTAGTCGCCCGCTGGGGACTCAGATTGAGAGGGTCTGGAGACCTTTAGTCGAGACTACAGACTGCTTAAGAACCTCCCGCAGTATAACTATCATAGGAATTGAACTTGGTAAATTACAACCCGACTTAACTGCAGTCTAGGGGGAACCATATCCGGGTGACCTCTCTCGACTTGAAAACAACCGTTTAATTGCTTGCTTGTTTGAACTTGCACTAAAGTTTCACCGCTAAATAATAAGAATTCGCTGAGTAGTCATCACATCTAGGACCCGGGTTGACATTAAAACCCAAACCCGCTATACTACGCTTTAGGAAGTGGTTACACTTGGCCATTTTCTAGAGTGACAGTAGGAGTGAGTCAATGTTACTGGGAACGGACGACAAAAGGCGGCAACTGGAGAGTGGACCAATCAAGAATGTGAGACTGGAAGGGGCCAGTCCAAAGGCACGGAGCTGGATTTATCAAAACACACTAGGTGATGGAGAAAACAACTATAGTTCCAAGTGGAAAACCAAAAACAAATAAAAGAAAACAAACATGGGCGAACACAAGTAGGGACACAGTCATGTTCCCTGACCCGGTCGCCCATGCTTTTTAAGGCGAGCACAGATGGGGGCGAGGCAGAACCCCATGCAGATATGGGGAGAAACACGGTCGTGTCTCCTTTGTGTAACGCCCGTGATTTTTATGTTAAGAGCAATTTGGCAAGATGGGGGAGAACATGGGCAGGAACACGGCCGTGTTCCCGACCGTGTGTTTATTAACCTGTTCTGCTACCCCCAAAAAAAACCACATTTCCAAGCAATCAACACGTTTGGGCTCTGACTCAAAACTCCACATAAACACAGGCAAAAATATGACACTCGAAAGCCATGGGAGCGACTTCAAAAAGACTCAAAACGAACACAAATACTCAAAAGACCTAAAAAATCAAAAGACACAAAGGATAGAAATGCAAACCGAGGTGGGCTTGCCTCCCCACAAGCGCTTCTTTACCATCTTTTAGCTGGACGTCAACAGTGGATGCTCATGGCGGTGTAAGAATAGGTGCCTCCAAGAGCGGATCCACATCGCTCTTGAGGTACAGCTTCAGATGGTGGCCATGCACACAGTGGGTATGGCTACTAGGGGTGGGCATTCGGTTTCCTCAACCGAACCGGACTGAAACCAAAATGTACCGAACCAAAACCGAAATATCCTTGTTCGGTTCGGAAATCGGAAGGCAGAACCCACTATTTCGGAAATCAGGGTCTGCTCAACAGAACCCGATTTCCAATTTTCGAACCGACCAACCGAATTTACAGTCACAACCAAAGCCCACAATCCCCAAGCCCAAACATCCCAAGCCCACTACATTTATTTTCCCATTTCTCTGAAACCCTAGGCCCTGTTACTCACAACAATTGACGAATGAAGTCTTGGCAGCGGAACTTCAAGATCTGCCAGCTTCAAGGCCCTGATTCCTTCTTCATTCTCTCCCACACCCGACCCTCCTACCAAAAAATCTCTCAGCTCTGCTCCTTCCCCCACCCGAGCCCCCACCGGCGGAGTTCAAGATCTGCCAGCTTCGACACCATCGCCCCCAAACCAAGATCTGCTTCATGCCATCGCTTCCTTTGAAGCTTCAACCAAATACAAACATGCAGCACAAAATCGATGAGGAGTAGAGGCGAAGGAGAAAAACAAACAAAAAATGCATGCATACTTAGATATTGAACCTTAATAACCTCTAACTTTCATTGCCGGAGTCGTCACAATCATCGATGTCAATCGCCGTCGCCATCGCCGCTGGGTCGTTCTCTCCGTCAATCACCATCGCCGTCGCCGCTAGGTCGTTCTCTCCGTCAATCGCAATCTCCACCAGCCCCTGAGTTCTTTTCTCCATCAATCGCCAGAGACGGGAGTCGGGAGGAGAAATCACCACTGCCCGCTGCTTTGTGCGCTGAGAAGTGAGAGAGAAGAAGAAGAAAGAGTGAGAATTGGTTATGCGTTTTCTTTTGGTAGGTGGGGGTGAAAGAGAGTAAGTGGGGAGAGAGAGAGGGTCTGCGTAGATGGAAAATGGGGAGAGGGTTAGTGGTGGGGAGAGAGTCAGAGAGTTATTGTATGAAACTTTGGGTTTGGCCTCCGAACCGAGCTATAATTCGGTTCGGACAAACCGAACCGAATTATAGCTCGGTTCGAATTCGGTCGAGTGATGTTATGGTTCGGAAATTCGGCGTATGTCACTTCAGTTTGGTTTGAACCAAACCGACCAAACGCCCACCCCTAATGGCTACCAGCACATGTCAAGTTGATCTGGGCATCCGGCAGGATGCATGCGAGTGAATACTAGGATGGCCAGGGTGGTCATGGCTTATGGACGCGGGACAAGAGCAAGGGTGATAGACCATTGATTGCACATGTTTTTACCCCTATTCTTGAGCCGTTTGAGATGTTGATTCTCGTGTTTTAAGCCGATTTCACGCTAGGTTGTGTGTTTATGTCATATTTCAGGGCTTGGCGTTGGCATCGAGGCGAAGAAACGAGTTTCGGGTCGAAAGGAGCATGTTTGAGTTGAAGTGTGATGGAGGAGCAAAATACCCGACCATGAGCAAAAATACCTGGCCGGGTATTAATCTGCGCAGACCGGGGAAAATCTCTTTTGGGCGTTTGAGAAGCAGAAGAGGGCCCGAGCATTAACAATAAATCCCCGGTCGGGTATTCTTGACTCTGACCGGGGATTAATCCCCTGTCCTCGACGGTGCGTTTCAAGAATCCCCGGTCGCCACCTAAAATACCTGACCGGGTATTCTGACCGGGGATCGCGATTTACAGCTTCTTAAGGGAAATGAAGGGCAAAGTTGAAGGGTCCCGAGTTTTAGAGAGAAAAAGCATATACCTAGAGAGAGAAAGTGATGAACCTGATTCTTCAAGCATCTTGGATCGATCTTCATCACCATTGGAGCCCGGCTTGAGCTTGGAGAAGTGTTGATTGATTTCCAGAAGCAGAATCTCATCCTTCACAGTATGGTTTCCGCATCTAAGCTAGATTTCCCGTCTCTCTCTATGGGGTAACTTTCTCATTCACCTGGGTATGAAGAACCCTAGATTTGTATGTTAGGTCTGATTGTATGAACCCAAGTACGAATTCAGTGATATGATTATATCCAATTGAGGTTTGATTTCTTGAATGGCATGAATCCTGATCAAATTCCTGTTATTTCTGCTTTGACCTAGAAAGAGAATATCTAGGTTGATAGAGCACCCTTGATTGAAGGTAGTGAATTGGCGAATTTAGTCGAGGAGTCAATTCACTATTCTGTACCAGATTTACTTCGGTAGGGGAGGTTTGGTTCGTTAGGGCCTCAATCTGTTTACTCTGGTGGAGGTTAGTAGCCCGCGGGGGACTCAGATTGAGAGGGTCTGGAGACCTTTAGTCGAGACTGCAAACTGTTTAAGCACCTCCCGGAGTATAACTATCATTGAAATTGAACTTGGTAAATCACAATCCGGCTTAACTGCAGTCTAGGGGGGACCATATTCGGGTGACCTCTCTCAACTTGAAAACAACCTTTAACTGCTTTGCTTGTTTGCCTGTTTGGACCTTCACTACACTTTCACTGCTAAATAATAAGAACTCACGGAGTAGTCATCACACTTAGGACCCTGGTTGACATTAAAACCCAAACCCGCTATACTATGCTTTATGAGGTGGTTACACTTGGCCATTTTCTAGAGTGACGGTAGAAGCAAGTCAAAGGGTGATGTTTACATCAGGAATTATCGGTGGCAAAATCAGCCCAGTCAGCTTCGGGTTGGGTCTGATTGGAGGAGGATTTCTAGAGGGGTGTAGGTGGCGGGCGCGACGGCTAGGCCAATTGGGTCAGCAAGGTTTACTACCGCCCTGGTCCATTATGATGGGATTAAGATGGGTCGGGCCAGGATCTAGGTCCACCACCAATCTTGTTGCGGGTCAAAGAGAAGGCAAGGCAATATGGGCTTCGGGTGTGGGCTTCTTGGACAGAGCGAGTGGGTTGAACGGAGGCTAGGGTTGCGGAGCTGGGCCGACCGCGACAGGTGGGACGAGAGGACCAGGCGAACCAAGAGGCCCGAGAGGGCTGAGTGGGCCAGGAGGGCCAGGAGGGCCAAGGGCCCAGGCAAACTGGGCACAGGCGCTGGCTCTGGTGAGAGTAGGCTGTGGCCACCGAGCCTAGGTGAGAGGAGTCGCGGGCTGGGTGATCCATCATAGTCGCCTGGGTTTGGTTCAGATCAGACCGACGACCGAGTTGGGCCATTTCGTCAGAAACTAGCTCAATTGGAATTTTTGTAATATAATGGAGGCGAGGACCCGTCCGGTTGGTTTACGCGGGTGGAACAATTTTTCAAATTTCAAGAGACGCCAGAAGAGATAAGGTGCTACTCGCATCTTATCATTTGGAGGTAGACGCCAACCAATGGTGGCAATGGATGTAGCACACCGACATTATGACTAGGATGGCGATGACTTGGGCCCAATTTCGCGGGGAGTTATGGGCTAGATTTGGTCCGTCGGAGAGCAACTCGAGTCATGAAACTCTCGCTAAGATCAAGTAAACGGGATCTTGAAGCGATTATCTCTTAGCTTTTGAGAGATTGGGCAATCAATGCTATGGTTGGACCGATGAAGCATTAGTGGGCTCATTCATTGGTGGGCTCAAATCTGAAATCTTCGACTCAATCCGCATGTTCAAGCCAGAAACGACGAGAGCGGCGATCCGACTCGCCAAAGTGAAGAATAAGGAATTGGAGAAGCATCATGGGACGCTGTGGAATCCGCCATGAGTGCTGGCGGAAACGACAATGGAAGGGGCACCGCCACCGCCTCGACAACCACCGCCGCGCACCCCCAATGCACGAAGAATTTCGTCAGAGGAAGTAGCATGTTGTCGAGCTCAAGGGCTATGTTTCCCCTGCGACGGGCGATTCACGATTGGCCATCGATGTGCTAATAAGAACATGCTGCCATGCACTGACGAGGAGGAAGGTCAAATTCATCCACGATGAAGACCAACCTTGAGGGCAAGATTGTGCTAAGGGGGGAGGATTGTTACGAGAATTGGGTCATCATAGCAATTAGGCTATTTATATGGGCCTAGTTATTCTTATTGTATTAGTCTTTTATTATTATTGTCTTTATTAGTTGTTTCCTTGTTCAAGTAGGATTTGATTATTGTTAGTTAGTTCCTTGTAGGAGTAGGAGTCACGTCCTAGATAGGAAAAGGTAGAGGCTTCTATGCCTATCAATATTTACTATGTCTTTTGTTTAATGTCACGAGAAGATTGGAACCCAATTGAGTTTATTGCTTTATGTTTCTTAGGAGTAGTTATAAGGTAATTTGGGGTTGATCTCGCCATCAAGGAGGCCCTCTACTCTAGAACGTTCGAGAAACGTATCCGAAGGTTCGCGTGCGTGGGTTTTCCGAGAAATCTACGTAACAACACCTCTAGTTTGGTCTATCTACGATACTTACTTGGCTCCATGTCCAACCATACGACCAATCATTTTTTAACTGTATTAAAATTTAAAATGGTTTCCTTGGGATGGATGAGACCATGGTTGTCATGTCGGTGACATGCCGACAGGTTGCACCTAGTTCAACTGGCGTGAACACGACGAGTATGATCGACATGATCGATTTAAGAGCTCTAAGTAAAATGACGTTGTTTTAGTGAATTTAATTACTAACAATTAATTTATTGTATATTTTATGAGTTTGAAAGTTAAATATTGGAGTTATTTATTGTATTTACCATTATATTAATGTCATTTCACATTTCTGCATATTTTATTGAATCGATAAGAATTGATACAAATCGATTAGAATTGATACAAATCGATTGTACCACCGGTCGAACCATTCCACTTACTAAACCAAATGTATAAACCGGTTTGAGAACGAGACGACAATAAGATGTCATTTTAGGTACTGGGCAAGTGGCATCTTACTGAACACCAGAAAAGGTCGTGGTGGTCGAGTGAAGCGAATGCGGATAACATTTTCATCGCAAGTATGTGCAGTGCAGTGCAGTGCCAGTGCATGCGAAGCGAAACAGAGAGTGAGAAGAGGTTAAGCAAGCACAGTGGTAGTATCTTTAGCAAGTAAGATCTTAATCTGACTAGAGTAGCAAGCGAAACCATATGGCAGCGACGCTACTGACGCCGGTGAAAGCTCAAATTCTCTTATTATCATCGCCCACCAATCTCCAACATACCCAGATTTCCAAGCCTCGCTACCCACTACCTCTGCCTCTTCATGTCCACCACTATCGTGAAACGCTGGCCACGTCCAAACGTCGCCGCCGTCGCATTTCCACATCTTGCTCTGCCACTACGCCCACCTCCGTCCCCTCCCAACCCCCACCGACGCCACCTCCAGATCGGGGCGAGAGTGATGATACCGATACCGGATTAGATGCTGAACGGAGGAAAGCGCCGGAGATACGAACGCTCTTCCGGAGATTCTGGAAAGTGGCTGCTCCCTACTGGTTCTCAGAAGACAAGGCCGAAGCGCGATTGCAGCTCGCAGTCGTCTTCGCTCTAACCTTGGGTACCACAGGCATCAGCGTTGGCTTCAACTTCCTCGGCCGGGACTTTTACAATGCTTTAGCTAGTAAGTCAACCTGGCTAAATTCTTTGTTTGTTGCTGTATATTTGTTGTGCTTCTTGCTTGGGTTTAATTGAAGCAACCTTACCTTGTTTAATGAAGACAAGGATCAAGAGCAGTTCACCAAGCAACTAGTTTACTATTTGGGAGCCTTTGCGGGAGGAATACCGGTGAGCACTCCACTCAACATATAATAGCTAGGCTAAGCTAAGCTTCCTTCTTCTTCCTGCATTTCCTTAGGTATTCAATTCATTCTTTCGCTTGTTTTCATTTCTCTTCCTTGTGCCTGATTAGCGTCATCAACTACTACCTATTTATTTTGTCATCCCATGCCATTTGCAGTTCTTTGTGCTGAGAGACTACGCTAGAGAAGTTCTTGCTTTAAGATGGAGGTCTTGGATGACAAAGCATTACTTGCAACGGTATCTGAAACACAGGCTATTTTACAAAATCCAGTCTCAGTCCATCATTGATAATCCGGATCAGCGCATCGTAGATGACCTAAGTTCCTTCACTGGGACTGCTCTTTCCTTCTCATTGGCTCTATTCAATGCTGCTGTTGACTTGATATCATTTAGCAACATCTTGTATGGAATTTATCCTCCTCTCTTCATCGTCCTCCTTGTATATTCTGTTGGCGGAACTGCTATTAGTGTTTATCTTGGAAAGGTTAATCTTCTCTCAGCTATTAGTGTAGAAATCTGTTTTCTGGCTCATTCATTTACCTTATCTACGCATTATCCTTTTCTCAGTGAAAGGCTTTAATTTAATGCGTGCTGTTTTTCTCCCTATTTCAGGAACTGGTCTCTTTAAATTTCATGCAAGAGAAGAAAGAAGCAGATTTTCGGTATGGACTTGTCCGTGTTCGAGAAAATGCTGAATCGATTGCTTTCTATGGAGGTGAAGAAAACGAAATGCAACTTTTGCTGCAGCGCTTCAGAAGTGCCTTTGAAAATTTAACAGTAAGCCTCTTCTGATGATTATATCTTTTCTCTCTTATTATTTCTGCTCTTTTGGGTATTTCTCTTCTTTGGCTCATATTTTGTCAACGGAATTTACATAAGCCATTGTTGCATAACAGCAGTGCAGGACTAGTTTCCAAATGCTACATAGAAGTTGCTTTCCCTATCGAAAAAGCTTGTTTGTCTCATCTTTTGCAGATTCCTTAATAAGGATCCTTGCCCTTTCACTTATAGTTTCTCACTATACTCCTCAAAATCAAAGCGAAAGCATGTCCAAGTGCCGCTTCCATTGCCATATGTTAAGCTGACTCTAATTTCCTTTGAAGATCGCGTTTTCCATACATTGCCTGAATCTACTGTGTACTACATTGAACTTATGGTTCAAATCAAAACAGAGAGAAATAAACCCTGTACAATAGAGCATTGTTGAAGGATTTCAAGTTGCGCCATATACTCATCTAAGTCTACAGCTAGCCATGATAAGCTTTTGTATCCTGCCCGGCCTTTGCTGTAGTTGCAGGATTGAGATACTAATTGTTTACTAGATAGATGTAGTAAGCAGATTGGTTTTCTGTTGCTTCTTCCTGATCAGTGGAGAGTTTTACTTGAAATCATACAGTATATATCTGATTATGCAACCTGGTGCTATTTCTAACTTTGGATTTATTTTTTCAAACAGTTATTGATATCCTAACTCAAATGATTCCCCTACTGATGCTTCTTTTCTTATTAATCAGCAACTGTTGATATCTTCAAGAAATCTAGAGTTCTTCACCAACGGCTATAGATACCTGATTCAGATTCTTCCAGCTGCTGTTGTTGCGCCTATGTTTTTCTCTGGAAAAATTGAATTTGGTGTCATTAACCAATCTGTATCAGCCTTTAACCATATCCTTGGAGATTTTTCCCTTATTGTGTACCAGTTCCAGTCCATCAGCGCATTCTCAGCTGTCATTGATCGATTAGGTTCTCTCTCTCTCTCTCTCTCTCTCTCTCTCTCTCTGGTGCATATGAACCCATATAACCTTCAGGCCCTATCCATGATTGCTCGCAATTACATTTTACTGGATTTTAATTATTTTTACACATTGAAAGCAATATAAACTTTACAGACATGCATATGTGTGACAGCTTGAGTTAGTGCTTCTCCCCGCCTATACTAATAATGGAATGAGTCATTATGAAAAATATCTGCTAGATCTTATTCGATATTTCCTAACAAGACAAGTCAGCTCGCAAGTCCAGTCTTATCCCAAAACCTCTATGTCTCATTCAGACCACAAGCAACTGTTTTGTCGGTCGGTTGTCCCTAGTATGATGCTCACTGAAATCTGAAATGCACTCCTGAAAAGAAACACTTATTAATTTCTGTGAGCTTTTTCTGTTTCTATACTAGGTCATGTTTTTTAAGTGAGATTTTCAAAGATAAATATTGTAATTGATTAGATACTAAAATCAAAGTGGTGACATCATTGGAGCCAGAATTGCTATATTTGCAGAAAAAAGTGAAATATGACTTCTGAGTTGTGCACATCTCATGATAATCACTTTTCCTTCCTCTAGTCCATTCTTCTGTATGTTCTGATCACCATGTACACGCCTTTGTTGTGACGAACAGTATTGTGCTGCGCCCAAAGGTGCTTCCTCCTATTTTCTATATTCCACCATTATTATTTGTTCAAAATTCTAGACAAGGACAATCAGGGTTGAAATTAGTTGCTTGTAGATCACTGTGTTCCTTACGCTACTTTTGCAGGTGAGTTCGATGATCTATTGGATGGCATTAGCTCAAAGTCTCTCTTGGAAACCCAAGAAGAGATCACGGTTGAGTACTCCCCAGCCAGAAGTTCGATATCGCAGGAAGCTAACGGGTCTGTCTTGAAGGGCCAGTGTCAAAATTTACTAGTTGTGAAGAACCTGACTTTGCAAACTCCAAGAAGTAAAGCTACATTGATTAAGAACTTGTCATTGATTGTGAACAAAGATGATCATTTGCTGGTTAGTGCGTCATGTTGTATCAGAATGATTAACCGATTATGCATGTTAGAGGATGGGACTTAATTGTACTAAATGTATATGACAGGTCATGGGACCGAGCGGGAGTGGTAAAACTTCGTTGTTAAGAGCACTGGCTGGTCTTTGGAATTATGGGAAAGGTGAAGTTATCTTCTGTGATGGTGATGGGGAAAATACTGAGGCACTTACCTCTTCAGGAATAACAGGTATCCAAGGAAGTAGTCTCATGAAGAGAAACCAAAGGAGCATACTTTTCCTTCCTCAAAGACCATATATGGTTTTGGGAACACTACGCCAGCAATTGCTTTATCCCACATGGTCAGATGGTGGGATTTCAGTAGCCGAGGATACTGAATTAGCTGGTACGTTTTCGAATTGTCCTTTTTTGCTCTCCATCTTGATATAACACATGCATAAACTTTTTTTACGGTTATGAGACAAGAAACTTTCTCTAACATGATTTTCTAAGTGCGAGTCTCTGTGTGTTTTCAGTACACCATGATTCATTTGATTGTAAGATTGTTATTCCAGTCAACTCCATGCATTGGAGTCAGAGAAATGCCTAACAGTGTCATATTTGAAACAGTGTTGCTCGTGCAATTTTTTAGTATAGTATATGCACATATCTCTGTTTCCTCCCTGCTTCTGGCTGCATGTATGAGACTACGGTACCTTCTTCATCATTCAAGCATCTCCCACCGGTCAACTGACTAGCATTTCCCGTTGTTACCATTATTCCTGAGTTGTTTTGTGTTATTAATGTTTTTTTATCAAAAGCTATACAAGGTTTAGTTGGCTCTTGCTTCTGTTACCTTTATTGGACCTAGGGTCTGGTTAGTTAAGGGAGAGCATTAAAATGGCATGTAGGAAGCAATCAATGACCGAGATCTGTGGAGAAGTCAAGCAGAGTGGAAGCTCATCATTCTTGTAGTTTAATCATGTCTGATTGCTGAATACTTACTGGAAAAGAGTGGAGGAGCGTTAGAACTAAAGCTGAGAAATGAGGGATGGGTTTATTTATTATGGACAGATTCAGCAACCTTGTCGTTGATTGGGAAGCCCTGCTCAGAAGAAGGTGGTGGTGGTAGGAAGCCAAGCACAGAGGACTTGATAGAGGTTCTAGAGAGAGTGCGTCTGAGCTATGTATTGTCACGTTGCGGTAACTTAGACTCGACACATGAGTGGTCTAGCGTGTTGTCCCTTGGTGAGCAGCAGCGGCTTGCTTTTGCACGATTGCTACTTTCAAAACCCAAGCTGGTTTTGTTGGATGAGTCTACTAGCGCCTTGGATGAAGCCAATGAGGTACTTACTACCTGTAGGCTCGCTGTCTTGGATTCTAGATTTGCATCATTAACAAGTCTTGATTATAGGATCTTGCATTCTTGCTGTCATAACACTCGGTACTGAATTCGTCTCTCTTTTCTGTCTATTCAGGGTCATCTTTACGAGGAGATAAGAGCGGCTGGTATAACATATATTAGTGTAGGCCACAGGCGAACTCTGTTGAAGCAGCATACGAGGGTCTTGCATATTGGCGCTGCAGCAGAAAATGCAAGCAACAATCAGGAATGTGATTGGCGTGTTGAGTCCATCAGTTCGGTGGCCATCTGATATGATTATAAGGAGAAGCATCCGTACGTGTCCCTATTTCGTGCATGCTAGGCTACTGTACTAGAGCTATATGAGCTAGGAAGGAATCCTGGCGATCACATGAGAAGTGACAACAGCCCTCTCCTGCGACAGAAAGATCGATCACGTGGAATCACCCAGGCGGATTTCGGCCTGACAAACTCTCGGACACTTGAATATTTTCGTACTGCTGAACTATTAAATTTGACGGGGTGCCCAAAAATATTAATGGGTCCCATATGTGCGTGCGCTCTATCCTATAAAACCACAATCTATTTTTACCGTGACAAATCTACTGTCCAATCTATTTTTACCGCGACAAATTATTAGTATATATAAAGCCCCTAATTGCTTAAGGGGTCCAGTAGCATGAGGGCGGGTGCACCACAGCTTCTCTACACCTGCTTTCCCTCATCACCCATCCTAGATTTTTGTTAGGTATCTTCCCTCCGGCAATCGCCTAGCGGCTAGACAAGTACAGAGCGCTTCCCTCCGACGATAAACGGGCAAGCCTAATCGCGTTAGAAACTTTTCACTTGCTAGCCCAATGGGTTGCGGTAGGGATCACCGCAAACCCCCGTGTGCCCTCTTTTCCCCTCCCCGACTTTTCTTCGATCCCCTGCGGCTAGCCAAGTTGCGTTTGATGACCCATCGGTTCGGCTCCGTTCCCAATTCCTGTGGTGTGATGGACTGCGGCAGGGTTCATCATAATCTCCTATGCAGAATGGATCCTCGACATCCATCTCTATCTCTGCATGTTGTGGGATAAACAAGCAGCTTTCTGTCTTTCTCTCTTCTTCTTTTTCGTTTAATTGTCGCATGGATGAGGGGCCATAAAATGGACAAGTCGATCGCCAAGGCTTCTCTCCCAAACTCCCTCAATTAGAACGTGTGTTGGGCTAGGCAGGACAGGACAGAGCAAGCACTTTTGTTAGTTGGGCAAGCATACGCTTTCAACCTATGGAGTCAATCGAAATCTACAGAAACCTCCAATCCACCATAATAAAGGAGGTAGACAAGAATATAATTGACATGCACCACAAATCTTTTTCCCCCACCGAGAACAGAGATTGGACGAATGCAGAACCAAGCTCTCTATCACTTCTTCTCTTCATTCCCGAGTTCCATTTATCAAGAATTTACCTTCACACACAAATTGTATTTCTCACCCACATAAGCTACTCAATAACAGAGATTGGAAAAATCCAGAACCAAGCTCTATCGCCATCACTTCTCTCCGGCTTTGCAATTGCGCTAGAAATCATCCCTGGTGCACTTAGAATTCTGGCATGCAAAGTAGACCGTAAATGGCACTCTCGAATACTGGATTACACTAAAGAACGAACCTAGAAACCTACACTTCTAGCTTATAGCAAGAATTTGGTAACAAATGAAGATGATGCTCCTCTTCGTATCTTTGGATTATTGTGTGGGTTATTCCAAGCATGCATGCGTTACATATGGCAACAAAACGAGGGACACCTGTAAACATTCACTAACCTTATGCCTTCACTTCACCAAACTTCAAACGACGATGCGTAATTGTCCGGATGTCGAGTTTGATGCCTTCACTTCACCTAAATCAATTTGGCTTTTGGATGGTGTTTTCTTTTTCGTTTATGCATGACTTTTCTTTTCAACATATAAATTATTAATTCTAATTTGTTTTATTTATCGATAATGAAAGTACATAAATGGTAAATGATTTTTAAACATTCTCAAGATCCTTCAAAGACACAAAGTTGTATTTGTTTCTTAAGAAAAGTTATAAAATCACATGAGAAATTACTAATTTTGACATTAAATTCAAACCGCAATAAGAAGTTAATTTAGAATAACTTAATTCAATACCTCCCAATTAGATATTCGAGCTTCCCGCCGCAAAGCGCGGGCCAGTTGTCTAGTTAATTCAAAGCAACATAAGAGACAAGTTAAGGCGGCAATAAGGACAATTGAGACTTGTGCGCCCCAGTTGGGCTTGTTGCCAGCTCAATAGGGGTAGCACGCAGCAACTCAATAGATTTATTGCCAGCTCAAAAGGAATGGCACTGAAAGGGGAAAGACGGTCAAAGAAAGGGGCTAGGATCAGGTGACTAAGAGGGGGGGCCTTAGTCACATGACTAAGTCAATCTCAGCCATTCCACCTCATTAAAATCCAATGGCTACAATTAATCTAATTTAATGAAGAACAAAACAGTAATTGTATGATTATTTTTATTTTTAATTATTAAATAATTTTTTGCTCGGGCTCTTCCCCCACCCATCTCTTCTTATTTCCCGTCGCCGACGTCCGCGTCCGTCTTTTTTTTTTCCGTCGCCGGCTAGGGAATTTAATTCCCACTTTCACTGTTCCCCAGGAGAGTTTCTCAATTTTGGTGCGTGAGAGAGAGAGAGAGAGAGATTTTGTACTGTTAGTATGCTTTGTATTGTTTGTCGGTTTATTTTGTAATGTTTGTACGCTTTGTTATTTTGTAATGTTTGTCGATTTTTTTTGTAATGTTTGTACGCTTTGTTATTTTGTAATGTTTGTCGGTTTTTTTTGTAATGTTTGTAAACTTTGTTATTTTTGTGTATCGTGTTTATCATTTTTGTCAACCATGTTTGTAATGTTTTTTATGTCTAAAAAACACCCGGGTTGACTTTGGGAAGGAGCCCCTCTATATAGGGATGGAGCCTCCAAAGTCAACCCGGGTGTTTTTTCAGTTCGTATGGATTGTCGGTATAGTTTGTCATTTTTGTCCACCATGTTCTTACTGTTTGTATGTCTAAAAAACACCCGGGTTGACTTTGGGAAGGAGCCCCTCTATATAGGGATGGAGCCTCCAAAGTCAACCCGGGTGTTTTTTCCCGTTCGTATGGATTGTCGGTCTAGTTTGTCATTTTTGCCCACCATGTTCGTACTGTTTGTATGTCTTAAAAACACCCGGGTTGACTTTGGGAAGGAGCCCCTCGATATAGGGATGGAGCCTCCAAAGTCAACTCCGGTGTTTTTTCTTTTTGTATGGTTTGTATTGTTTGTCAGTCTAGTTTGTATTGTTTGTACAGTTCATACGTTTGTAATGTTTGTAAATCTGTTTGTATGTTTTGTCGCCCTAGTTTGTACTGTTCGTATGTTTGTATGGTTTGTACTGATTGTAAATCCGGTTTATATACTTCGTAATTTTCCATAATACCCAAACTACCCCTGTCATTAATTAAATAGCCCTTCCCACTTTTTAACCATTGGATTGAAGTGTCCAGATCTAATGGCTAGGAGGGGCTTAGTCAAGTGACTAAGGACCCCCTTGGTCATGGGATCCGCTCTCCAAAGAAAGGAACTGACAAAAACTTCTTCCAACGTAGCTTGTAGTAGCAAGTAAACAAAGAAGAGGTGAAGCTGAAAGCAATTCCCTCTCCCGGAAAGAAGGTTGTGGCATCCAACTCCAACTCCAACTCCAACTCTATTGAGTATTGACGCTTCTACGGCCCGATTCCCGCTGCCAAGTTCGTGGACTGGAAACCTTCGTCGACGCCTTATCCCCTTCAGCAGGAACAATCCTGTCATGGTGATACCAGCTTTGCCACATGATCGAAATCCAAACAATCAACGTTCTATTGCTGGGAGTTCTTTTTCTGTCTTTTCTGTTTGTTAGTGGTTTGTCTATGGTTTGATTTCCTGTTTCGTTTCTGAGGTTTCCTGCAATTTTTCGTCAAGTAGTCCTTTACTCTTGTTTTCAAATCTCTTGTTGCTGTTCTATCTGTTCCTTTTGCAATCTCATGGTAATACTACTGCTTGCTCTACTTCGGCCCTACCATATGTGTGTCCTCTCTGTTAATTTTTCTCGATTCGTTTCCTACTATTAGGGGTGGGCATCGGTCGATTCGGTCCAAGACCGGACCAAACTATTATAGGACCGGACCAAAATTTCTTCTAAATCAAGGACCAAAGTCGAATCGTTATTATTTCGATTCGGTCCGGATCAAACCATATATGGGTCGATTCGGTCTGGACCATCCCATTAGACCGACTAATCTTTCATTCGAATAAAATCACTCTGTGGTGTCATTTATTCGCATCTTCTCCATATCTAAAACATTAAACAAGAAAAGAGAACACAATATAAATACCTGGTTCACAGTGTGTAGGTAAAGTAAGCAGCTCTTTTGATCGAAGCAACGCGGATGAGAACTCTGATTTGAGGGTAGGACTACAGGAGCGGCAGCGGTGAGTCAAAGTAAGGGAAAGTCAGTCATATTTATAGGTAGTTAAGTGTCGTGTAGGGTATTAGGATTTTCAACTCCAAGTCAACTTGCCTTCTAAGAGCCTAGTAAAATAGGCAATTAAAGTAATTACGATTCGGTCCGGTCCTTAGCTTGATTTTACGGTTTCGGTCTGGACCGAACCAAAACCGAAAATGTTCCAAATTCAGGAACCAAAATCGAGTCGAAAGATAAACAGTTCGATCCGATTTGGTGTGAGAGTCGATTCAGTCCGATGTGAATCGAATCGTTTCCCACCCCTAGCTACTGCTCTGTTTTTGTGTACCGCTGTTTTGCAGGCGCACAAGGAAGAAGGTAGCGGTGGTTTGGGAAGAACGACAGATCCGGCTTTCCGTGGTTCTCTCGTCAGACTTCCCTGGCGGTGTGGCGGTGGATGGATCATGACTCTTCTTCAAGGCGGCCGAGTGGATAATGATGGCGAGATTTGTGTACACAAAAGTGGCGGGTGAAGGGAACGTGGGTTTGCCCTTATCCCCTGCCTGCGTCTCGGTGATGTGAAGGCCATATGGCTTTGTCCTGTACCTGGGCTGAATTTTATGAGTTCTTTGGTCATATTTAACTAGCACCGGACCCGGCACGTTGGCCGGGAAAGTTTGATTATTATGAACTTTATATGTGTTGTTAGTCGTTACCGCTTATAATGCATGTGAATAACATAAATATATAACTAATAATAATATGCATGTTTACAAAAAAAAGCGTTCATATTGACCTTTGATGTAGTTCAATATATCCATAAAAATATTTCCTCAGATATTTATCATTTTTGTTGATCATGACACGGGTTATACTTAGAGGTACGGATTTATATGATTTAAAAGTCACTTTTTCCATTGATCAATTATACTTAGAGCATGTTTACCATATTGACCTGAACACTCCATTGATACAACACTAACCTTGCATATTTTGATAAATATGCGATAGAATTGTCACCCTTCTATACACAAAAGTAATAGTGCCACTCTAAAATCTGTTACAGAAAACAAACAAAAATGCCAAAGTGCCAAGATTCAAACCGAGTATTCTTAGCATGAGTAAAGGACTTACGACATAACAGGGAAAACCAAAGGAATAATATGTGCATTGCAGAAGTTATACTTCAAAGTTGAATGTTTACATGCCCATGGCTAACTTCACTATGACTAACAAAAATTTAGTTTCGCATGTCTAACCAAAATTTGTGGCCGGTATGACCCAAATATAACAACAAAAACCCTTAATTATGCTATGAAGTTACCATGATATATTCCGATCATTGAGTATCTAATTAATATCCTGGCGATTATGATGAAAAGTGCTATTTGTCTAAAGATACCATGATTACCAATTGATTAAAAGGTTTTATATGATTCATCCATACCAGAAGGAATGAATGCTCAAACCAAACAATAAAACATTGTGTAAGAGGTGAAATTAATGGTGTAGAATGAATGCTCAAACTAAACAATAAAACATTATGAAGAGGTGGAATTAATGGTCTATACAGATTATCCAAGAGTGAATCAAGGCAGAGGCATAAAGATTACATAAGAGCTTGTTAAAAATGGGAAGGAGATAGAGTTTATGCAAGAACAACTAAATAAAGCAAGGAGTTAAAAGGTAAAACACATACATAAGAAGTCAAAGTATACATGACCAATTTGGTACAAATAAGCTTGATTCTTTAAAAGAAATCACGTTTTAAGTGATGAAAATCATATAAGTAAAAAGGATATTCGGCTAGAAAGCATCATCAAGAAGAGACATGTGGAAGGACTTCAACTTTTTCTAGACTTAAAGGTTAGGTTGACCTCCATAACAGAGCACAACGACACCTAAAATTCCTTAAACAAAAGCGTCATTCGAATAAATAAACATGTCTCAAGGAACTGACAGTCTGACACTGAGCCTTATCCCTACATTTCATTCGGCTAGTCTCTATGTCAAAACAGGTTGTGCTGAAACCGAAGCTCTTTAGGAACACCACACATTATCAATTAAAACCATAAAGTCGTATGTAAACAGAAAAAATGGCGTCTACCTAGGAAAGAAACTGAGCTCAACCAAGGCATGATTTGGCATATTAATGAGTGTCCGTTGCATAACAGTTTACTTACGTTAGGGTCGATTCCATTAAAGCAAGTGTCATATGCTTTCAACCACATCCATTTTAATACATGGCTAAAACGTCAATTTCAATCTAGACAATTCAAAGGCAAAAGGAGGACAAAGTAGGGATGACAATTAATTATAAATGGTAGATGGGACTTCAAATAAATGAGAATATATCAATATAATATGGAATAGAGGAAGATGGAGTTTTTCAATTCCATTGGGAAAGACCCAAATCAGGCCCAAATGGAGTAGAAGAGAGCCCATCGACCGCAGGTATGGATGTCACACTGGGCTGGGGGAACAAAACGTACCGGAGCAAATTAATTAGTGAGAAATGACAGCAGTACCCTTCCGAAAATCAATCTCAGACCAGCAATTTCAAAAGGGAGAAAATTGGAGACATGAATCTCTATTATATATTTTGTAGATTGTAGATGGCCTTAATGGCTTTTCCGGATATGGGCTTTGTTGGCTTCGGCCGGTTTTTTGTTTTTTGTTTTTTGTTTTTTTTTGCAGGAACCGTGGTCTCGTGACATCAAGATTTGGGCTTCGCGGGCTTTGTCGGGAGTCAATGCTTATCCAGACATTAGAGCTTTTTTAGTGACATGGGCCTGTCTGGGCCTTAGTTTTCTTTGTTTTTCAGCCTTGCAAGTAGTGCATCTCGTACGGATCTAGATGAACCTCATTCAGATCGTGACAAACCTGCTTGTCTCTTTATTCATAGGAACTAACAGAGCTGCTCATTTAGTGGCATATACGGCTCTTTCATCGACAGTTCGATTAGTATCGACTGACGTTATTTTTACCCATTGTAATCATATCTATCTATTATTTCATCTGACTATGATATAAAAAAAGGATGCTCCCTGCTTTAGCTCCTCTTGATTAGTACTATGTGGGCCCGACTAGTTGGTCGGAGGTAGACGAGGTATGAAATTTGATAATATAATGGCCTATGGGGTGTATAGCTTATTGTTGTATAGTTTTTTTTTTTTTTTTTTTGGGAAACACGTGATAAAGATAGTGAATTTTAGCAGGAAAGAGACATATGGATGATGCAACGAATCAAAAATCAGCCTTATGAACTATTTGAGCCTAGAATGTTCTAGGCGGTTTGATGAAGAACGAGCGAAGTGTCTTATCTAGATGGTGGGTGTACTCCTGATCCCTACTAAACAAGGGTCTGTGGGCGGTCGCCCAGGACACCCTCCAATGCTTAAGTTAGAGAGAGAAAAGAGAATTTATGTTGGTGTTTAGAGAGAGAGGAAGTAGTTGAGTTACCATCAATTCAAGTATGAAGGTATTTATAGTCAGTTAGGTTGGTTTGGGGCATTAAATGCCATGTCAGGCACTCTAGACACGCCCTGCTTTATCTAGACCGCCTACGACGGGCAATTGATACTCAGTCCTGCAGTATTCGAGGTGAATATCCTAGGAAGATCTTCTCTTTCTGCCACCAACGGTACTTTGTGTCAGGCGGCCTACTCCTTGTCTCGTCCTAGGCTAGACGCCCGCCACTCTCTTTTCCCTATGTACACTCCCTCCTTAGGTCCTCCGCTGGGCCTTGCCTGGGTCTTCCGTTGGGCCTTGCCCGATTTACTCTCTCTAGGCCTGAAGCCCAACACCGCTCAACGATGGGCCCAACAATTGCCTTTTAGTCGTGAAAAGCTACGAGTTTTGGCGGCTACAAACTTTGCATCAGTTGTGTTGAGCGGTCCTCCCTTGTAACCGCTACCTATATCCTGCCCCTGGCCGCCCAAGAGGCGAAGGGTTTCCCTTTAGTGTCTAGATATTCCTTGTATTATAGAGACCACTGTCTACATCTTGTCCCCACTCGCATATGAAACGAGCGGGCGCTTTGTCCACCTCTAAATGCTCCACTTTACTATGCATGTGATCTAATGCGGTTAACCTTGACTTCCTTGTGTCGATTCCTTTCTCGTACTCTTTATTATATTCCTTAGACGGTTTCTTATGGATACCGTTATCTGCATTAGATTTCTAGCCGCTTGAGAAACGAGCGGTTACTTTGTCCACCCTTCTATGGTTCACTTCGTCCCGCATGTGATCTCACGCAGCTCGCCATGAATTCCCACTTGTGTCGATTCTTTTCTCGCTACGCTTCTCGCTCCTTGCATGCTATGCCACGTGTCCATTCTCGAAAGTTGGACTCTGACAATGGGCAACCCCTACGTCCAATCACCTGCCCGTCTTTTTGAATTCGAGACTAGGGTTTCGCCTCGGTCACTCAACTGTCGCGTCACTACCCGTTTTCCTTCTCCTCGTTCCCCCATTTATATACCCCTCCTTCATTCTTCTTCTTTCCCAGCCATCGTCTCGTCGAATTTCTCTTTATTCTTTGCCAAAATTGCTCGCTGCTCCATATTTTCCTTTTTTCCTACTTGCGAAGTCATCCCCTCCTGTCGCCAGTACGATCAGACTTCCTCACCAATCTTAGGCGAACTCAGAAGCGAGCAAAAAGAAAGAAACAACGACAATTGAAAATGGCGATCGAGTCTTAGAGCACTACTCGTTCTGACAGTCAAAAAGTGATGTCGCCGCCGCTACGACCTCCGGCAACGTTCGAACTTCCAGCGCTGGAGCCAGCTTTTCCCGCTCCTCCTCGAAGACTGGTGGCGGATCTAGCGGACCGTCTTCCGGGAACAAGCAGCCTATCCCAGGTATGTTGTGCTCTCCGTTTATTTTGTTGTATTCTCCTTAGGATAGGGTTTTTCAGAATTGAGATTTTAGTGTGCGGCTTTCAAACGCGCAATCAACTTAGCAAGAACTTAGGTGGTCTTCATTATGGCCTTTTAGGGGTAGAACTTGATCTCGAAACCACTGCGGGTACGTATGTTGGATGGCGGGGAGCGTCTTCAACGGTTGGTGACAACCTTGGAGACTTCAGTTATTCGGAGGCGGAGAGCGAACCGCCAAATACCGCGCTCATGATTACGCTTTCTTCATATAGCGGGACTGGCAACCACCCCGGCGCTGTTGAGAGAGAACTGTCACCTTCTTTGGAAGTGTCTGACGTAATGCCCGTTGAGGCATTTCAAGTTCTCCATGACACTACCTATCGTGTTAGACTGCATGCAGACATGTGGGAGGGAGAGGAGGTTCCGATGAGTGCCTACCAACAAGGGCCTCCAAACGAGGCTGCTTATAAGCCTCAACAAATTCTCCGTCAGCTAAAGACTCATGGCCTTCCTGGTGATTGGGACTATGCGGCTCCTTCCACCGTCGGGCGGTCTGGCTCTTTCCCTGGTGGGTGGATCCCCATCCATGTGGAGCACATCCGAATGGGGTTGACCTTCCCGCTGGATCACTTTCTGATGCGGACACTGCTTTTTCTCGGATGCACTCTGGGCCGCCTGTCGTCCGATATCATCTTCCACTCCATCGCCATCCAAGCCGCCTGCGAGATTATCGGGGAAACGCCCTCCTTCGATGCTTTTCGCCTGTTGTACAAAGTTCGGGGCTCTGATAACTGCTGGTCCTACTATTGGTGAGAGACTCGAGTTGGCTTTGTGCACGAGGCGGCGAAGCTAGACTCTCCCTGGTTTAAGGAATATTTCTTTGCTCGACCAAAGGGAAAATGGTGTTCTTGGGATGTCGAGCCGCTGACGGGATTTGCTGTTGGTGATAAGAGGGACTGGAATACTGATATCGATGGCCTCGATCCCTTCAAACTGCTCATTAAGCGGATAATGAGGGTTGTTCAGTTTCATCTTCCTACCAATGGAGATGATAATGCCTTGGAGATTATTCGGTGTTTTCACGGTTAGTTTCTTTCTCTTTGTGTTGAATGCACGTCTCATGTTCTTTACTTATGTATTCATTTTGCAGGAACTCGCCGCTATGCTTCTTCCTCTTGACCGCCTAAACCAAGCACCAGTGCTCCTTCTTCGCTTCCTCCTGCTATGACTCAACAAGCGGCTCTTGCCGCGCAGCCTGCTTCGCCATCACATAAGCAGCTGGTGGCTAGATGCACGAGAGTGTTGAAATTTTCGGAGCCAGTTTCCCCGAAAGAATCCTCCAAGCGGTCGTTGGACTTATCGACCTCGAAGGACAAGAGGTCAACCGCTGACGAGGCCCGACTGAAAGGCATCCTCGCTGAGAATCCTTCGGCTACCCCTATCGATCCTTACATTGCGTCCAAAAGGCAGAAGAGGACCACCCTTGACTCCATCGTCTCTTTTCCTCACAAGCATCACTGTGCCACCTGGCCGCTAAGCGCACCATGCATGTGATTGCTGAAGAATTGGCGGTCCCTGATGATTAAACCCATGTTGCGGGAACCCCTGTCTTGACATCGGATACCAGGCACTTGGCGAGTGCAACATCCCGATTTTTTTCGCGGTACGCGTGTGTTTCCTTACCCCTTTTGTGCTTTTCAACTTTTATTTTGCTAACCTTGGCCTTTTGCATACCCAATTTGGGTTGAATCAGATGATGCTGCACAACAACCGCCTGCAGAGTGACCTGGATGACAGGAATATCAAGGTTCTCCCACTTGAGGATCAGCTTAAGGAGGGTCGCGAGGGGGTGAAGGTGGAGTTGAGGGAGGAGATTTTGAAGGAGCAGGAGGCCGTTTTGAAAGAGGCGAGGGCGGATATGCTCAAGGATACTGACGAGGCGAGGGCGGCGTTCTGGGCATCAGGTGACTTCAAGGTTGCTGATGAGGCAAAGTACAACAAGTTGTTAAGAAACATTGTGGCTGCCATCCGTCATTGGTTCCGCCGAGAGCGTCCCGAGGTCGCGTGGGACACCAACACGATATGGGACGCGGTCGAGTACGGGAGTGATGATGATGTCAACTCTGAGCATGTTGCTACTCCGACCGTAGCCGTTCCAGATACCAGTCTTCCAAGTGAAACCGCAGAAGTGAATAGAATGACCAGCATGATTGAGGAAGACTGTTTGATGAATTTATCGTTTTGCTTCCCTTTTGTTTGTATTTTTCAAGTCTTGAAAACTAAATTTGCCCTAGTGCAGTGAATATTCTGGGCGTCCGTTGTGACGCCCTTTTTTATGTAATGCTACTAAATCTGCCCCTTTCTTTTTGCAAGCTTTC